AAAAAAGCCGGAAGTGGTGCTGTGGCTCAAGTGGTAGAGCGCTAGCCTTGAGCTGAAGAGCTGAGGGACAGCGCCCAGGCCCAGAGTGCAGGCCCAACAACCGGACCCCCCTCCCCCCCAAAAAAAAAGAAATGGGACCTCCTGAGGGTCCTAAATAAACTCTTAGTCTAATGGGTATGACATGTGCTCCAGTTCTCTATTCTCCACTAAACACATCCGTAATAATTAAATATAGCATCAATATGACTATGATTATAAGCAGATATTTTTGTCTGTAAAATATTAATATTAAATTCAAGATTCTTTTAGGCTATTTGGTAGTTTATTTCATAGTATTTGAGATTTTTCTACATTACTTATTCCTTTTGTATTAACTTCCTTTTTTATTTTTTTCTCAAAAATCCTAGGTTGCTGCCAAGAAATACCGTGATTTTGACATTCCACCAGAATTCTCAGGCGTCTGGCGCTATCTCCACAATGCTTATGCCCGCGAAGAATTTGCCCATACATGCCCTGAAGATAAAGAAATTGAAAATACTTATGCATATGTGGCTAAACAAAAGAGTTAAGACAACTCTTTCAGGAGAAAAAGCTCTTTGTAATCAATTTTCACTTTCTACTGTATTAGAAACATTTTTGAAATACTAATATGGAAAGTACTATTTCCTTTATCCAATTCATTTATGAAAAATAATTTATATATATATGCATTTTCTATACTAGTTAGCCATAAACAATCTATCCACTTTTATTTTATATATCTTCATTTTGTACTCTATCTCCTTTATTCCTATGGCAAACCACTGCAATATTGAATGACATGGAAAGCATCGAGATCTTTTGTCCTTTACTTAGGTTCCTAGAATGCATAATGTTTGAGTTAAACATTCCTGAAGTTACAAATGATATAAGTAGAGCCACAATCTCAAGCTATTATTTAGAAATGATTCCATCCAAATCATAATAATTTGACATTTTGTTAACTGAATATACATGAGTCTATTTCTGAAATAATGAAATTAGACTGAGTATCAGAGAGGCAAATTTTAAAATCATTAGAGATTAAGATTAATTGGTCATAGAACAGCATTCAATGCCTACAAATATAGTCACATTATAGTCAGAGGTGATGATATTGACTTTGTGACCAGATTATGTTATTAGTAAGTATTCATTGTATGAAAGACAAAATCAGAAGCAAATGGACAGCAAAGCTGTAAAATCGATTGGATCTTTATTCATAGAAATAAGCAGGAAACTAAGAAAGTTGGCTAATCAAAAGGTCTTATTGTTGTCCATTAAATGAGAAGGCACTTAACCCTGTGATTTACAGAGTGTTCACAAAACTTTCTGTACAATTAAAACCATAACATATGTATTTAGATTCATAGAGGTATCCTCAAATCATTCAAAACTAAGGTGGGTGGGAAAGGAAAGGGAGGAGTTGAGGAAGTGGGGAGGAAAGGGATAGTAGGGGAAATATAAAGGAGGGTGTAACAATGCTCTATAGGAAATGTACTCATTACCTTGCTCCTGTAATTGTAACCCCTCTGTACAGTATCTTTACAATAACAAATATATATTAAAAATCATTCAAAACTAGAAACAAAGGCTGAAATTGATCTTGTTCCTTCAAAGGAGAAACAAACAAGCAGCTTCAGAAAAGGAAAATAAAACCTATAGGTTTTTATCAGGATGGAATTTAAATTTAGTAATTGATTTACAGAAAAAACAATGAGTAAAGAGTTAACATCAGACCTAGGCATACAAATGGCTCTTGTATTATGAATATGAAATGTGCATGTCTAATTTCATGTTCCTGTGTACTAGACTGATCTGACAGATTGCATCTGGTCTAGATGGTGGTGGAAGCTTTTCTGAACAACTCAACCCTTTGCATCTTCATTAATATGAGTTACAAAAGTAAAATTGTTTAAGATCCATGATTTTAAAGAACAAAATTTCTTAGTACTATGACCTGAAATTTATAAACCAAAACTGTTTATACAGATTTTACAATAAAATATGCCACTACTAAACTCCAGCATATGACAAGGCATTTATGAGAAGTAGGTAGTTACCCAATTTCACATGGATTAACATAGCTGAGAATTACTATCTTAGAGAAAATCATTATCTTTTTTTGAGACCGCATGTGGCTTCCAGGGACATAGGAAGGAACCACAGGGGTATCTCAGTCTCACTTCATATTCTCTTCTTAGCTAACATTAATACAGTTCAATTCAATAGCTACTTAGTGAAATACTATATTACTAATTATTACTTGGTTACTTAATCTTCATAACTCTATGAAGTACTAACAATTCGTTTTTTATTTATGTATTTACTGTATTATGCCTTCTATTATTTTATTTTTAATTAGTATATATTAAGTGTACAAAAGAATGGCTTCATTATGATATTTTCATACATGTATATAATATATGTGGATTACACTCATCTCCTCATTACTTCTCTTGTCCAGCTTCAACTTCTTGTTAGTCCTCTTTCTTTCCAAATGGTATCTTTACCATTTTCATTCTTTTTGAAATGTAGCTCTTGCTAGTTAATTGGAGATGGAGTCTCACCGAGCTAGCTTCAAACTTCGATTCTCTATCTGATTTCAGTCTAAGTAGCTAAGATTATAGGCCTGAGCCACCAGGACCTGGCTGGACTTAATTTTATAAAAGATATTGGAATCACAAGTCTGAAACTAGTTTGTGTTTTTTTTTAATTGTGAAGAAAGGGCGCCTTGTACTGATGAGAAAATTTGAAATTGGTCACAGTACTTGCCAAAGGAAACATATATACAAACCAGCCATACTACCTTTTCCAAAGAAGAAAATACTAACGATTTATTTATTTCTTTTTGTGTGTCAGTCATGGTGCCTGAACTCTGGGCCTGGGTGCTGTCCCTCAGTTCTTCAGCTCAAGGCTAGAACTCTACCACTTGAGCCACAGCACCACTTCCGGCTTTTTCTGCTTATGTGGTGCTGAGGAATCGAACCCAGGCTTCATGCATACAAGGCAAGCACTCTACCACTGAACCACCTTCCCAGCCCACAAATGATTTATTAATTCAGATTTTTAACTTTTAGAATATTTGACTGGAAGATCTATTGATCATAGAAGGTCTAACTTTCTCAGTAACTGTTGATTATAGTGTGGCTAATAAACTCATTAAAAAGATATTCCTATAGCCTATTAGTGACTCATGCATGTAATCTTGGCTACTCAGGGGATTGAGTTCCAGATTATTGTGATTTAAAGGCAGCTCCAGCCATGTGCTAGTGGCTCACACCTGTAATCCTAGCTACTCAGGAATCTGAGATCTGAGGATCACAGTTCAAAGCCAGCCAGGTCAGGAAAGTCCATGAGACTTATCTCCAATTAACCACCAGAAAACCAGGAGTGGTGATGTGGCTCAAGTGGTAGAGGGCTAGCCTTGAGCTGAAGAGCTGAGGGACAGTGTCCAGGCCCAGAGTTCAAGCCCCATGACCAACAAAAAAAAAAGCCAGCTCTGGCAGAAAAACCCTTAAGACTCCATCTCCAAAATAATGTGCATAAAGAAAAAATTGCTTACAGTGTGGATCAAGTGGTAGAGTGCCAGCCAAGCAAGCAAGCTGAGCAAGTATAAGACCCTAACTTCAGGGCTGGGAAGATGGCTCAGTGGTAGAGTGCTTGCCTTGCATGCCTGAGGCCCTGGGTTCAATTCCTCAGCACCACATAAGCAAAAAAAAAAAAAAAAGCCGGAGGTGGCACTGTGGCTCAAGTGGTAGAGTGCTAGCCTTGAGCTGAAGAGCTGAGGGACAGCGCCCCGGCCCAGAGTTCAGGCCCCACCACTGGACCCCCCCCAAAAAAGACCCTAACTTCAAGTCCTAGTACCAGAAAATAAAGGTACTCCTAGAATGTAAGATCCATCTCCTTGAAGGAAAAGAATATCCAAAGCACAGTGTAGGTATTCCAGGAATATTTGTTGAATGAGTGAGTGAATGAATGGATAGATGGATGGATAACATAGAATAATAAAGTAATAAATGGAAGATGGCATATTTAATATAGCTGGCAATCTATCTGAAAAACATAGCTATTCTCCCTTCTCACAAAAAATACTAAAATAAAATGGGTGAATTAACTATAAAAAGGATATTCACAAGTAAAGATAATAAAATATTTGATAAAACACTTTTATTCAAATAAACAAATTAGGCCTGGGGACATAGCTCAGTGATAGTGTTTGCCTAGCATCAATGAAGACTTGGGTTTCATACCCAGACCACTAAAAAAAAAAAGAAAAGAGTAGGAAAAGAAGAAATAAAGAAAGGAAGCAAAGGAAGGAAAGAAAAAGGGGAGGAATGAAATAAGGAAAGGGAGGAGAAGGGGAAGAAAGGAAAGGAAAAGAAAGAAAAAAAGGAAAAGAGCAAATTCTTCAGCAAGATAAAAAAGTAGAAGCTAAAGCTCACATTTAGCTAAAGAACTTTAAAGGTTTTGTTGTATTTGAACAAAACCAGTATTTAAAGTTCAAAACCTGAATTATAAACATGGAGAAAATATTTGGGGCCCATGGAACACACAAATGGCTAATCTTCCCTTATATGTAAATAATTAGTGCAAAGTAGATTTCTAGCAGAGCAGCAGAATCACTTGGTTGGCCTATTGCTCTATTGAAACTGGCTAAAACTACCTTTAAAAATAACCGTTTAGGGGCTGGGAAGGTAGCTCAGTGGTAGAGCACTTGCCTTGCATGCATGAGGCCCTGGGTTCGATTCCTCAACACCACATAAGCAAAAAGAAAAAAGCCGGAAGTGGCGCTGTGGCTCAAGTGGTAGAGCGCTAGCCTTGAGCTGAAGAGCTGAGGGACAGCGCCCAGGCCCAGAGTTCAGACCCAACGACCGGACCCCCCCTCCCCCCCAAAAAAAAAAAACAAAAATAACCGTTTAGTGCTAGGCACCAGTGGCTTATGTTTGATATCCTAGCTACTCAGGAGACTGAGATTGGAGGATCGCGATTCAAAGCCAGCCCAGGCAGGAAAGTCCATGAGACTGTTATCTCCAATTAGGCACTCAAAAAGCCAGAAGTGAAACTGTGGCCCAAGTGATAGAGCAGTAGTCATGAGCAAAAAACATTTGGGGACAGTGTCCCGACCCTGAGTGCAAGCCGGAGGACTGGCACACACAACAACAAAAAGCCCCAAACACCAAAAACCTACAAAAGCAGTAGTATTTAACTCTCGTTTTCTGTATGAGGACCAAAGAATCTTTCACTGTTCTCCATTTTTCCCTGCTTTGAATATATTATAATAAAAATAAATCCTTACTATTTTTTCTGTTTGTTTTTGGTACTAGCCCTGGAGCTACAATTCCGGGCTGGGGTGCTGTCCTTGAGCTTCTTTTGCTCATGGCTAGGATTCTATCTCTTGAGCCACAGCTACACATCTGGCTCTTTTTTGTAGTTTTATTTGAGGTAAGAGTTTCACGGCTTTTCTCCTCAGGCTGGCTTTGAACTGCTTCAAACTGCAATCCTCAGATCTCAGCCTCATGAGTAACTAGGATTACAGGACTGAGCCACCAGCACCTGCCTTCTAATTCATTTTATGAGGTCAGAATTACCTTGGCACTAAAACCAATAATATTATAATGTAAGAAAACTACAGCCAGGTGCTGGTGGCTCACACCTGTAATCCTAACTACTCAGGAAGCTGAGATCTGAGGATCACAGTTCAAAATCAGCCTGACCAGGAAAGTCTGTGAGACCCTTATTTCCAATTAACCACCAGGGAACCAGAAGTGACCCCATGGCTCAAGTGGTAGAGCGCTGGCTGAAGAGCTCAGGGATAATGCCCAGGTCCAGAAGTTCAAGCCCCACGACCAACACACACACACACACACACACACACACACACACACATCAGACCAATAAATCTTTTTATATGGAAGTAGAAATCCCCAAAAATACAAGCAAATCTGAATCAGAAACATTAAAAAATTATATATCATGACCAAGTTGGATTTATCCTAAGGACTCAAAGTTATTTCAGTATCTAAAAATCAACAAATGTAAATGTCACATTGATATAATGAAAAACAAACCAAACTCTCTCTCTCTCTCTCTCTCTCTCTCTCTCTCTCTCTCTATATATATATATATATATATATATATATATATATTCTCCATATATCCAAGAAAGTATTTTACAAAATCATAAAGAATACACTCAAGGATTGGAAATGTGGCTTAGTAGTAGAGTGCTTGCCTAGCATGCATAAAGCCCTGGGTTCAATTCCTCAGTACCACATACACAGAAAAAGCCAGAAGTGCTGCTATGGCTTTAGTGGTAGAGTGTTAGCCTTGAACAAAAGAAGTTCAGGGACAGTGCCCAGGCCCTGAGTTCAAGCACCAGGACTGGCAAAAAAAAAATACACTCAAAAACTATTAGGATAAACAAGAGAGTTAAAACAGTGTTGGAGGATATAGACTCAGTACACAAAGTCAGCTGATTTTTATATGCTTGCATTTTGCTATCTCAGGAAATGGACAGAATTCAGTTTGAAGTATAGTTTCTATTAAATGTGTGTTGCTTTTGCCATTGTGAAATTGGAAACCATCTGTAGATAAATTGTACTTCATCAAAATTCAAAACTTTGGATTTCAGAGCTGGGAATGTGACTTAGTGGTAGAGTGCTTGCTTAACATCATGCATGAAGCCCTGGGTTTGATTTCTCAGTACTACATAAACAGAAAAAGTCAGAAGTGGTGCTGTGGCTCAAGTGGTAGAGTGCTAGCCTTGAGCAAAAAGAAGCTTGGGGACAGTGCCCAGGCCCTGAGTTCAAGCCCCAAAACTGGCAAAAAAAAAAACTTTGGATTTCAAAAGACAGCTTCAAGAAAGTGAAAAGAACACAGAATGGAAGAAAGTGTTTGGAAATCATATATCTAATAAGATACTTCTATTTAGAATACAGAAAGAGCTTATAGCTCAATAATACACAAACTAATAATCTACAAATGAGCAATAATCGCCGGGCGCTGGTGGCTCACACCTGTAACCCTAGCTACTCAGGAGGCTGAAATCTGAGGATCGCGGTTCAAGGCCAGCCCGGGCAGGAGAGACCGTGAGACTCCTATCTCCAATAAACCACCAGAAAACCGGAAGTCGCGCTGTAGCTCAAGTGGTAGAGCGCTTGCCTTGAGCTGAAGAGCTGAGGGACAGCGCCCAGGCCCAGAGTTCAAGTCCCACGACTGACCAAAAAAAAAAAAAAGCAATAATCTAGGTCACTATATCTCCAAGGAAAATGTATAAATGGCCAATAAGAATTGAAAACATTCTTGACATCATCAATCATTTGGGAAATGAAAATCAGACTAGAATTAAAATTCACTTCAAACCCTTAGGATGGCTAGATTGTCAGATAATGACAATGATCCAAAAGTCAAATAATGTTACAGAAGATATTAGAATCCTCATACAACTGCAAGTGGGAATTCAAAATAGCAAAACCACTGTGGAAAACAGTCCAGGCTTTCCTCAGTATCCAAAAGAAATTAGAACAGGTGTTCAAGACAAAACTTGTGATGAATGCTCATAGCAGACCTATTTATTTATATTTTTAATTAATTTTTTTTGGTCGGTTGTGGGGCTTGAACTCTGGGCTTGGGCGCTGTCCCTCAGCCCTTCAGCTCAAAGCAAGCGCTCTACCACTTGAGCTACAGTGCCACTTCCAGCAGACCTATTTACAAAAACCACAAGGTGGAAAAATCCAAATGCTTATTGATGGGTGAATGAAAAATGTGATCTATCTGGATTTTTCAGCCATAAAAATAATGAAGTACTGTTGTCTTTCATTATGTTGGAGGGATTGGTTCCAGAGTCCCCTTCAAATGTTATCATCAGTGATAGTATTTTGCACATTGACTTATATGGGTAAAGTCAACTCTACATTATGTGTAATACCTACAATGTAAATGCCATGTAGTTTGTTATACTATATTGTGTAGGAAATAATCATAAGAAAAAGTCTGTCTAAAAATGATACAATATGTTCAAGTATTTATTTTTAAATGCGCAAATAAAAAGAGACCAATGTATTAGTACCTGCTACAAGATGAATGGACCTTGGAAATATTATACTCATTTGTGACTAGCCAACTGAAAGCAGTCAATCACAAAAATTCACATATTTTATAATCTCACCTACATGAAATATCGAGAATAAAGAAATCCATAGAAACAGAAAGAACATGAATGGTTGCAGAAATTGGAAAGATGAGAGAGAGAGAGAGAGAGAGAGAGAGAGAGACATGAGGGGGGGAGATGACTGAAAGTTGTATGTTACTTTGAGGGGACCAAGAAGTTCTAAAGTCAACTGAGGAGGGTAGCATATACATGTAACTATACTAAAACAATTGAGCCATTCACTTTAAATGGGTAAATAGTGTGGTATTTGAATTTATATGCTAATAAAGCTATTTCTAGAAAATAAAAAAATTGAATGAAACAAAGAGGAAGTACTATATACAATAAATTACAAAGGGTAAAACCAGGCACTGCTGGCTGATGCCTGTAATCCTAGTTACTCAAGAGGCTGAAATGGGAAGATCTTGTTTCAAAGCCAGCTTGGACAAAGTCTGCCAGGGTCCATCTGCATTAACCTGTAAAATGCCAGGCTGGAGGTGTGGCTTTAGTGGTAGAATGTCAGGCATGAAATGGAAGCACTGACTTGAAAGCCTGGAACCAAGGACAAAACAAAGCAACAAAAAGAACAAGAGCCAATTTTCAGAAGAGGAAATGCAAATGTACGATGTACAAGACATGGTGCTGGCCTTATTAGTGGACAGAAAAATGTATAATAAGGCAATAAAGTATATTTTATTTAACTATATCAGATTGGCAGGAATTTAAAAAAGATATGCATCAGTGGCTCATGGCTGTTAATCCTAGTTACTTAGGTGGCTGGTATGTGAGGATCACAGTTCCAAGCCAGTCCAGGTAGGAAAGTTCATGACATTCATCTCCATTTTTAGAAAACCAGAAATGGAGCTGTGAGTTAAGTGGTGGAGCACGAGCTTTGAGCAAAAAATCTCAGGGACTGGGCCCAGGCACAAAAGCAAGCAAGCAAGAAAGTAAGCAAGCAAGAAAGGGAGGGAAGGAAGGAAGGAAGGAAGGAAGGAAGGAAGGAAGGAAGGAAGGAAGGCAGGAAGGAAGGAAGGAAGGAAGGAAAGAAGGAAGGAA